CGTAGCCAATCAGAGAACGGCATTTGTGATAGAACGCTAGTAGATTTATACTAAAACTCGATAGAAACACCGTACATGTTTTCTATTTCTTAAATATTTTCCTAAGTCTTTATTGAAGCATTTATCTATTTATGTACACTTGTGAAACGTTTCGGCCAATCGAAACTGGACGTACATGTACAGTATAACAACTGACTGATAAAAAAAAAACGACGGCAAGTAGTTTCTTCGTCAGTCTTATTTACCTTGTTTGTACCATTTTCCTTGTATGTTTCCCAGTTCTCTCTGTCCAGTGACGTCTGAATCTCGTATTTCGTGACGTAATCTGTATAGTATTGAGAAGATCCCTGCGTGGCTACTGCGCAGACTCCAGAACGCTGAGGAAGTTCGACCTGATAATGAGAACGAAAAAGAGTGCATTACACCTTTATAAGCAACGGAGAATGGTCGCTGTCATCATCATTATCATTATCGTCGTCGAAATCGTGACGGCGTCATTACCGTCATTGTTATCGTTATCGTCATCATCCACGACACGTCATTGATCTCAGTGTCTTGTGCATCATGATAATCGCTGACAATAACAACAGCAAACGATTCCTTGACTAGCTAGCTAGGAAGCACAAAAAATATCCCCAGCCATCCAAAATCATGTTTGCTCTCTGACCTGGAGGTATGGATTCGGATCCTTTTCTGGTCTGTTTGCACACCAAGAACCTTTCTGATTGTTCAGTCGTCCTTGAAATGGAGCGAAAGTGATATACGGTGAATACCAAGAAGAGGCAAGAATTCCTCCGCCAGAGATTGCATCATTTTCCATTCCCAGGGGATTGCCGCGACAAGCGACATCTGCAAGAAAAGTCAACGGAAATGTAATTTTACCCCCAAAGAGTCCGAATGATCTTTTATGCAACTCTAAAAGGTCAGAATTATTACAAACTAAAATCTTATTTCTTTTGTTTCTGGTAGTATTTTGTGCTTTGGTGATTGATTCACTCCGCTAAAACCAGGGCTGACCAGGCTTTACCGGTTTACTCATCTGTGATAGAAAAAGAACCGATTTTTAAGACTAGTCATATACGTTATGCCGCCCCACTTTCACCAGGTGACTACGACTAACAATATATACCTTTACAATCCTTTTTAAATTGCTTGCATTGGTAGGTGTTCCAATATTCGTGCTATAACGAGAAGAAGAAAAAATAAAGCATTTACCTCTTAAATAATAACTAAAATAGCATTTAGTCTAACCTAAAGAGTTTGATTTTGTCGTCCTTACTACCTACGAATCTAATGCTTTTAAGACGACCACGTCAAAGATGATGGATTTGTGACCAGATTACAAGACTGAAAAAATTAATGTCAAAACAAAGTTAGAAGTCAGTGCTTTACTTCAAAGTTGTACATTTTACGTACTTTTAATTCATTCCGACTCGTCCACCAATATTTCAGAACAAGTCGAGCTAATCCTCCTTAATTGTTATTCAAATTCGAAAAACACGCAAACCAAATTGTTTAAATTCGAAGTAAGAACAGATCTGCTGTCTAAATGGGTTGTTTCGGCAAATTTAATTACTCATAGATTTTATCATTCTTATTCTTCTCCAGTACACTAATACTCAAGAAACACTCTGAAATTTGCCCCACCAACATGGTTGCATGGCAACGTCTTTAGGGATAACCGCTGAGTCAATCACTATTACAGACCGAGTACGGAGTTCTAAAACTGACTTCTACAAAGAAGCTTATCTTGGACACGGAAAAGCAAACTTACCGAAGGTTCCGATTGACCATAGTAATTCATAACCTCTTTAAACGTACATCCCTCTTCATAACACTCGTCATCGATGTTATCTCCGATAATCCCAAAAAAGTTCGACGCGTCGTCCTTGTCCATTACGACCTCCTTTCGCGGAAGCATTCGGCCTGCACAGACAAAGAGACTGATTTTTAAATATTTACGTAAGTATTGGGTTAGTGTGCATGGAGAATGCAATTGATAATTAGCTAAATTCTCTACTTCTTGACAGCCCTCGTTTTGTTGGTTTGTGAAAACTCTATAA